AATTGTACAAATATTTTCAGAGAACATTTTAATTCAACAATCATATGAATTCATGCTGTTAAAATCGGCAAGAATTATTTAAAATGTTACATTAATTAAAATGATTGTTGATAATTTTAATTCGTATCTCTGATTGTGCGGAAGTTTCAGGAACTACAGTTTAGTCTATTTGACTACGTGTATACTAGCGCCTAATTAAAATTATCAACAAACATTTTAATTCATGTATCATCTTTATTAATCAACTTTTTTTTAATCAATCTCTTAATACGTAAGATAAAAACAACAAACGAAAAATTTAGAGACATAAGATTGACTGTTATTTAAAATGATACATGATAAAATGTTGGTATAAAGACTAAAACGGCGTTCCATACAAAAATGTATCCTACATAAACGAGTGTTTATTTATTGTTTGCAATAACCTAGGAAGCATACAAATGAAGTCACCTTGATATTTATAATGTAATGGACCGTATAATTTGAAATGAAAATGAAGAATATTGACACGAATGATTTTTCATGTGTTTATTATGTAAAAATACAAATAAAGTATTTTATTCTAAATCTGGTTGGTGATCAGTTCGACGACACAAAACGAGAAATTGGTATCACTACGAATAGAATATAAAGGAAAGACTTACTTGTTGTTTCGAAGTTGGTTAATACCCTGGTTAATACAAACAAAGGCGATGTCAACGATGGCATTGTTGCTTTTGTTGAATCAACAGCGTATTACAGCTGGTTAAACGACAACTTCGACGAAGGCATTATAACAACGGCTACATGGCGTCGTACAAATTACTCGATGAAAATACCGTGATGCTTTTTAACAAGCACGTTCATTATTATTGATGGCTGTACGGCGACATCTTGTTTTTTTTCGAGTGTTGTTCGATGAATTTGCTGATCGCATTCGCAAATGCAGTGCAATTCTAGCTTCGGCGGCTCATGCGCCGCACATAAAAAGTGGGAATATATACAGGGACAGGCACAATGGTTATGTACAAGGCGTGCTAAGAGATTTTCTTAAAAGGAAATACTAAAGGATAATAATTCTAGTTTGGAAACGGAACCACCCACTAAATAATTGCTACGACACAGACAGAAAAAAATTCTCGATGCGGTTAAATTATTAAACAATGTGTCCCTTTAAATAAATATGGTCCTAGCACATTTAGAACCCTATAGCGTCACAGAGGCTCACAAAAAGGGGACTATCATTGTTAAATATTTAACCTTTTAAATTAAAAATGTGTTGCAACTACCCGAAAAAAACCTTTATTTTTAATTATCCAACATACTAAAATAATCATTACGGGGAACATTAATGTAGGTGGCCAAATCATATATTTTTTCCATAAAAAAATTCTTTCCATCTTTACAGGGTAATTCCTTACACTTACACAGCGCGTAGCGCGTTCATTGTAAGAGATGTTCATTACCGTGTTAAGTAGGTCAAGGTGAAGTACAAAGGTCACTTGCCACGTGGCTGTGAGCTTGGAAAGTAGATCAAGGTGAAACTAAAGCGCATTTGTTTTCAAGTCATCAAAAGTCGATGGCCCCATTTTTTCGGCGTCACATTTTACTCTGAAGGTCGTTAAAAGCCAATGGTCATTTTTGTACTCTCCTCTATATTTATTTTCAAAGTCAATGGTTCAATGGTCAAATCTTATTTTATTTCCAAGGTCAATGGCCCTATGTTTGTGGTGTCACATTTCATTTTCAAAGTAATCAGAGGTCAATGACCTCATTTTTGTGTTGTCCTAGTTCGTTTTCAAGGTCATCAGAGGTCAATAGCCCCATTTTTTTGAGGTGTCATATTTCATTTTTAAGACCATCAAACCGGGCCGTGTGGCGCAGTTCAGTTAAAGCTGGTGCTAAAGGTCCCTGGTTCGAGTCCGGGTTCGGGTATGGGTATTTGTAAATGTATAGTGGGTTGGATTGGTAGAGTAGCCTTAGGTGAAACCTCTCAAAAATAAAGGCAAAAATAAAATTAAATTAAAAAATGACCCCAGTTTTTGGTGTCATTTCATTTTCAAGGTTCAATGACCTCAATTTTTTGTAGTGTCGTCCCTGTAACACTACTAGCTTTAAATACATAAGTTGTGTGGTTTACCATAAATCACTAGAAAATGTAAATTAATAATATATAATAATAGCAATAACTGCGATTTGGTAAAACAATTTAATAATATATAAATGCAAATATTTCAAAAACTGCTACAGCAAATGCGTACATATTATATATTTTTGAAATCAGAAGGTAAAGATCAATTCAATTTTTGATACATATACAGGGCGCTCCAGTAAAGATTTGCATTTTTTACTAACTTTGCGATACTCATTTGTTTCTTTTGCTTTACATTTTCTAGCGATTTATGATACACCCACAACTTTTGTATTTCAAGTTATTCGCTGTCTCTTATAATATTGGCGCTACGCATTGTCTACGCGCTGTTTAAATATAGGGAATACCCCTGATATCAAAATGGAAAGAACTACTTTACTTAGGCTTTTCTTTTTTTGGGTATTCCCTTTTCAAGTTTATAATTTTTCCTTAAATATAACTAAGATTCCTAAGATATAACTAAATAACCGAAAGGCTAGATCACAATTTAATTTAAAAGAAAAATAAACAAATTTAGAAATTATAGTAGCTAACTAAATCATGTGAACGGACGAAAATAGCGCCAGTCGGGGGACCGGACGGACGGACTCCAGCACCACCAAGCAGTATGGCCATGTCCCTGGTCAAAGTCGGCGGGACGGTCTCGGAAGCGTCGGGTAAACTTAATTAGAGTAAATGGCAAATCCAGGGATCGAACGAGTTCAGCGGTGGTCACTTCGCAAAAACTAAAACAAAATTACGACAAACTCCCTAGAGAGAATGAAAGCAACAAAGCAAATTAGTTAGCGGTGTGTACGGGAAAGCAAGTGCAGGAAAGGGAAACAATATCTTATAATTAATGGAACAGGAGCGGTAGAAATTACTGTGCAAGAAATGCAAAATCTGTAGATACTGTGCGGTAAATTTAATGTAAAAGCAAAAGTTAAACTGTATGAATGCAAATAAAATATACGAAAAAGCTCAAAACTACCGTAGTTGTGGAATTCAAAAGGCAAAAGATCCCCTCTAAATTAAGCGTTTACGTTTAATACCCATTCCAAAATAGGGAGGGGGAACGTAGAGAAATCAGGGCGGACCGGCGTATTCGGTTGATACTGCCCACAAAAAATATAACTTCTTTAATTAATTTTGCAGCCTGATGACGTCCTAACTTCACCGCAACACATTTATTTGGCTACTATTAATTCCACTTACTTAATTGACCGGATTGAAATTTCTAAAATCGGTAGTGCAATCAGGCTCATTGTGATTTGGAATTTCTCAGGTCGGCAATTCGGCATAAACGTCTTTTATCAACCTGATAACGATGTAAACCTGCAGGTATGAATGAATGCTGGAATGATGGAAAATAGTGGTGTTGGTTTTTCGCTAGGGATGATCTGCTCCCTAAAATCATTACACTTTTGGAATACAACGGGAAGAAATTCGTTAACACGTAGCTTCTCTCGACTATTTCACCGAGGCACGTGGCGCAGTGGTCGCGCTCACCGATGCTATTCGGGAGGTTGTGGGTTCGAATCCCGCTGCCGACTGCTCTGTCTGGGGTTTTGTCAGGGGGTTTTCCTCAGACATACGTAGCTTCGCATAATGCTAGCATTATGTTGAAATCTACGAGGCGAATGCTGGAGCAGTACTCTCCCCCTCAGCACCCTAACTCCGTTCCTTCCGTTCCCATCCCTAACTTTACCCATCCTTACAATCCCGTTCTCTGGCTGAAGAGGGCCAGGAAGCCCTGAGCAGCCCGCCTCCGGTATCCCTGTAGTCAGGGGTGCCGGAGGAATGAAACACGTTGGCCTTTTTCCTTTTTCCCCTTTTTTCGACTATTTCTGATTTATGTTCCCCCTGAGGCAATCGATAATTTGTGACACCTGAAATCACTGCATACTTTCTTAGAAGTTGTTTACGTCTTACGGAGCATAGCAAAATGGCGGGAAAGTGAGAGGAGCCAGTGACGTCATAGGGGAGGGTCTGTGACGTCACAAAAAGTAAAGCGAAGGGTGGGCTTCTCTACTTACAGATTGTGGATTGACTCTTAAAGGCCCTTAAAAGCGAGTCTCTAAGGAATGTGTAAGGATGATCGACAATCACAACAATTCTCCAAGAGCCTTTGAGAGTCCCCAAGATTTGTTGTAATGCCTTTGAAATCTTTATTATTGTTAATAGACAATTGTCTTATATTTGGAACAATTTGATCGTAATTGTTATGGTAGGTTCCTCTATTCAAACTCAAAGCAAACCAAAAAATTGTTAATATCAATTTTAAGGTTTTCTGGTTAGACCTGTATGTCTCACAAGAATTTGATGAAATAATAGCGCGAGGCCAAGTCGAGCTATAGGTTATAACAAGTTTTTGATCAAGTCGAGGGTGTCTTTTAAAAGTCATTATAACATACCAAAACTATCTAAAATTCAAAAAGTAGGTATGTGTGCGTTTATCTTTTCGAACGAATTATAACCAATTAATTAATAAACTAACACGCTCTAACCGCAAATGCAGAATTCTTCGATATACCAACAGTAATAAAAAAAAGCTACTAAACAGGAGTTGTGGTTATTCCAATTGCTACCAAAGAATTATTTTTCATCTCAAATCTTTTGTAGCCTGTATTATACAGACAACTTTAAAATCCCCTTAAAAGAAACCAATTAAATCAGTGGAAAGGTTTCGCTAGCATCATTTCCCTTCATTAACAAAGTTTATCGGCGTTTTACTTTCAAAATATTTTGACAGGAATTGCGAAACTTATTTAATTAGTTTCGTTTTAAGCTCAAGTAGCAGTATCTAATGTTAATCCCTATTTAATTAGTTTAATTTGCATTTTCATAACGATGTCGCAACTTTCAGGTGGAAATAATGAATTATTTTTCTTTTTCCGTTGCAGATGTGATGGCACGAGCAGGAATGGCATTAAGGAGGAGCGCAAATCAGGGGAATATTGAGTAAGTATCTCGACCAAAATTATTATACGGAGATGGCGATGTACAGAGAAATTCGGTGCAATAAGCCTTTATTACCCCAGGGGTAGTAAACCTTTTCACTTTGGTAGGAGGATGGGCTTTAGTATTTAATATGCAAATAAAAAGGGTTTATGTTAGGATGTCTAGGATAGGGATCAGTGGCGTTAATTTTGCAAAACAACAGATGCAATATAATGCTAATATAGGGTGTTATAGGTAGTTTTGTAGGGAAGGGTTTCTAATAACTTTGTTTATTTTTGATGAAAAGTGCTCTTGTCGGCATCAATAGAAAGCCAGTTTGAATGAAAATATTTCAATTCATTGTACCTTTATTCCAAAATCTAGATGCACAAGAAAGAATTGGGACTTTTGTGTGTATATGCTTTAAATATAGAAATGCAAATATGTATTTAGTTTAACATTTTCCTCTAATAAAGTGGGCGTTAAACGGCGTTTAACCTCCAGTTCATTAATTTTCCGTTTTTTCACATTCTCTCTACATTAGATAATTCTTATTTTAGTACTCTTTGTGTAACAAATTGAGTAAACATAAACACAACGCGCCTACATTGAGTTTAGAATTTGTCCTTTTGTGCATCCGTTGCAATGACATTTGACTGCTTGTACCGCTGACCTTTGGAAGACCCAACAGGTTTGTATCAAATGAAGCGTGATCTAATAGAACTATTTTTACGTGCATGTTCGCGCTTTCACAATTTTTTTCAACTTTGGAAAATGAAATAAGTACGCAAACGCGCCCTTTTTCAATGAAATTTTGAAACACGGATCTTTATAAATTAATGACAAAAAAAGTACCTACCAAACGTTGTCATGTTTAGATATGTGGTACAAAATACCTATACTGTGATATATCTATATGTATCAATTTTTTGCCATTTACACTAAGTGTAAACGACCAAAATGGTAGACGCGTTTTATTCGCTTATTACAACATAATTTAATTTTTCTTTGTGCCAATAAAGGAAGAATCAAAATGATATCATGTGTCACTGATAAAAAAAAAAGTAAGGGCTCCAGAAATTAATAGAGTGCGAGAGAATGAGATAGTAGAAACAGCCGGAGCTGGAGGGAGAGTCACAGCATAACTGATATCACGACCACACATGTGTGGCAGCATAAATAAAAAAATAAATACTTGTTCTAGGTTTTTATCAAAGAAACCGGCTTCTTTTATGCCTCCAAGACCAGAAATCTTTAATTGAACAACTCCAGGTTTTTGAATAAAGGCAATGTCCTGCTTTGCAGTGAGGCGCCTGCCTAAAGTAACAGCAACCGCCCTACAGTGTTGCAGATTTATTTGTATAAAATTCTCTTTTATATAATTATGTATTACTATGACCCTTTAAGTTCGGGTCATATACAAAACACCTCAAACCTAAACTAGCTAATGAAATTTCTCTCAGTACGATTCCTCATCCTCCCGGCACAATAAAAACCGAGATAAAAACATTTATTTCTGACTTTAAATTCCTGATTCCAAGCAAACAAATGTTCAAGATCATACTCCTTAAACTCCAACAAATTTTGAAAGCATTTGAACTTTGGACGCGAATCGACAAAATTAATCGTAATTGAGCATGAGACATCTATCTGAATCGTTAAAAGGATCGAATAAACACACGACTTGCATGATTTTACATAAACAACGTTTATTCTGCGACCACAAATGAAATTAAGCATAAAATCCTATTTAACAAAATTAGAGCACAGCGAACCAACTGAAATGTAAACACGCGTGTGCCCTCAAATTTCAAAACGGCAACTCGGCCTCAAACCTGCCGAAAAAGCGTCTTCAAAGGACCTCAACTCGGCCTCGAAACTGGCAAAAAGGGTCTTCAAAGCACATACTCCGGTATTTAAACGGACTTCCCTCCTTAGATAGCATTGAAATTTCTTAAATAATTAAGGACCCGTATTTTGGTCACGTACGCAAATTTTTACTCGGAATTATCTTTTCTTAAATATGACATTTTTACAAAAAATAGTTTTTTTACGATTAAGAAACCACCTTATCTCTAGGCAATTGCATTAATCATTTACAAAATAAACGAAAACCCAATAACTCCGTTGCTGTCACAAATGCATTAACAAAACAAATTGATAACAGAAATTGAAATAAAAATTGTGTTAACCTTAATTCTAAGAAATACCCTTTTTTTTACAATGAAATAAATAGACTAAGCAGATACGCAAAATCGTTTTGTGTTTATTCGTAAATAATTCCACGAAATTGATTAACATGAGAACATGAACACCCGCATTCACTTTCAAGTACCGAGATCTAACCCTCAACCTCCTAGGCGACATTGTTTACACAGCAGTATGTAGACAATACCTGTCTATCGTTTGTCTGGCGTTGCTAGAATCAGACCCCAACAGTGCCTCAGCATTCGCAAACTCATCTCAGTTCGAAATCGGCCCGGGTGAGTTGCTAAAGTTAGAGCAAGCACTGGTTGGTTGACAGCCGGGGCGATGATGCTTCCGTAGTTGTTGTGGTGATTATACTGACGTGCTGACCCTACACGGCTGTGTGGAAGTTACTTTTGTCCAGTAATTCTGCACCTCCAAGCGCCACAATTTTGGGAGGTTGCCAACCACCTCCTTCAACCCCTCAAGGGAATGGTTGTTCTCGCATGATATTCTTAGGATCTCGCCCGAGCACCTCCAATCCAACCCCTGAACGTGGGTGCTAGTGTAGTGCCTTTTAGGGCGAACAGATGCTGGTCAAGAACTTCGGCCAGGTTAATTTGTACCATATGCTGCTGGTTAGTAGTTAGCCTACTAAGAGGGTTATTGGAATCAATGACCGCTACTTTGATTTGCCTTTCGACAGCTTGCTAATAGCTGTTGCGCGGTGCTCCAGCCTTGCTGACACCCGCCTTCGGTGGGGACTGTGGTCTGTCCTTCGTCGTCGGCGGTTGGATCGGTGTTGAATCACCCGACCTCTGTCTCTTTTTATCTCCGCCTGACTGAAGTTAGCTTTAGGAGCCTAGCTGCCTCTGGGTAAGGTTTGGATCACGGGAGGTGGATGGTTTGGAGGTGACTGTTGGAACAGTTTTGCCTTTTGAGCCAGTCTGGCCTTCTTTCTTCTGTTCTGCTCAACGCCGGAAATGCGTTTGCGTGGTTTAGTGTACATTCGTTCCTTACAGTTATATTGTCCATTATGTATGTAATAATTATAATGTACTCGTAGTATATATCTCGGTAAATATCGACAGTATACAAAATTTTTCTATATAAAAGTTGAAAAGAGAAAAAAATCTATCAAATGAGTCTAATTGAAAAGGTGCACCGCCATTAAAAAAAAATCAATTGTTTTTCGTTACTCATTTGTTTTCTGAAATAAAAACAAATGAATGATGCCTTATTATGGGAAATAAAATGTTAAACAACTTTCATATAAAAAATGTTTGTATACATTCGATATTTACCGAGATATATACTATGTTCCATCCATAATGGGCACCCTGTATAAAAAAAATGTCGTTTCAATTTTTTTTTTCTCAAGTCCCCCCTAAAAAACTGTTTGGCACCTCTGCTACTTTATTCTGGCTACAAGCCTGTTTCAAATACAACTTCCCAGGTCTGTTTTTGTAGACACATCAGATATCTATTTCTATGTCCTTCCTCTTGACAAGTCTGAACAGTAACATGGGTCATATCGAGTGATTATTTACATTAAATTTAAATTGCTATAGGCAGCAAAAAGTCGAATATTACCATGTTCCGTCTAAACGAGCTACTATGGCGTGACTTCTAAAATGCACTCGAAAAAGCTCTGACTAGCTAGAAAATAAAAACAAAGACCTTACAAAATCTTACAAAGTTTAAAGGGCTTCTCCATCAGCAAGTACGGCAGTAAACTTGCGAGACAAACCACCCACTTCATCCGAATCAAGAGATTTGGAAGTGTCTCCAAGAGCACGTACGCAATGTAATACACCTCTCGACCGTTTTCAGAGGGCCATTTTAAAAGTATTCATTATTTCGAATGACGCGGAATAGAATTGAGCGGAAGCTTACTTGTAGGCCTACAAAGAAGATACCGTATTACAAGAAAAATTAACATCTACTACATTTACTGTAAATGGAATGTCATAAAGAGCGAGTTCCATTTCTTACAAAAATGCATAATTCTGAAATTCTTTCATACCTACACATTTTCTCGGATAAAAACGGCAGCGGACCTTTGTTTTCTTCAGTATTCTTTATAAACATTTATTAGTACATGAGAGTACATAAAAAGATTCGTTAAAATTAAAAGTATACCTACAACTTCATACAGAGATCGCACGAATGTGAATGGACGTTTTGATGAAAATAATCATTTACTAATAAATCTGTGTGAGTTTACAGTAAAGTTTGGATATTAATTTTGTGTCATATTCATACTCACAGTTCACCACTTTCATTAATTTGCCCCTTTACTTTTGACGCATTTCATTAAACTTTCTGCACCCCTTTTTAGTGTCAAGCTAAATTTTCTTACAAATGTATTACTCGCAATATTTGCTTTGAAACTTTCGCTCTTTAAAATCTATCAAATTTTTTACCTGAAACCGTCAAGTTGGTTGTACTTTCGATTGGTTTTCAACGAGCAGATCATCTTCACCTTCAACAAACCATTACCGAAAGTTGGTAAATTTCTCACTAATTCCCATCCCATAATAATTCGACAGTTCTACACGAATTTTAGTGAAAGTTCATTTATTCAATTGAAATAATCACAGTCAAAAATGAATGCAAACTTCTCACGACGCCTAATTAAAAAAACATTTTGTTTTGCTTTGCTGATTTTAATTGCACTCAGAATAGCATTTCTAGATAAATTGAAAAAAGTGTTCATTTTTCATATCTGGAACTGAAATCTGCAAATCGAAAATGGCACCTGTACGATAGGTGGAGAAGCCGCCGCTCTCGCGCGATTGCTTTCTAATGACAAGGGAGGCCTATTAGACTAATCAGACCTCGTAAACTTTCACTTTCGTCTGTAATTAAAACAGAACTAGATTTGTACCTACTTATTCTTTTAGTTTAATTTTAGTATAGGTTTTTGGTGTTTTTGTATGAATCAGGGTGTGCAATGTATACGAAAATAAAGAATAGTTCGAGATATTAAAAAAACATTTGTAATTCCTTACCAAACAAAAAAAATTCTAGAATTGCACGAAATATTTACAGTTCTATGTGATTGGAGATTATTCTATTACAACATTAAGGCTGGCACCGTTCCTAGATTTGAACTTTGTGTAAAAAAATCAAATTAAATATTAATATCGAAAGCAGTTTCGCATGAAATTGGCGTATAATTAATAAAGTTGGGCTAGAAACACAAAATCGAGAAATCGTACGTGAAAAGTAAGATTTACACGTTTCAGTTTTGAACAATGAAACAAGCCCATAAAGCTGAAATAAATTAAAAATAATATGACCAGATGTAATTTGCAAGGGGCATTTTAAGCAGTAATTTCTGCCATTTATTTTCGTTCAGGAGTCAAATTATCGAATACAAGCAGTAGCTCAATTCTTTGAAGATGAACTATTTACATTGGAAAAGAAACTCTTCACTATTTATGAATTGCGCCCAACATCGCCTCATTTTCCATGTGCGATACTAAAATTGCATCTCGCCTGAAATGTCTTCCGTAAAGCATGATCCTTTGAATGGGAATCGCGACTTTGTTGGAGAAGAAATGCCGGAAAATCACCTTAATTTCCATCTAGAAATTGCTACGGACTGAAGCGTCTGAAACAGGCACCAAAAACAACAGCTACTAAAGCAAGCGCGTTTCGACACCAAAATTGGCATCGTCATCAGATTCGTCTGATGATCGAACGACGTTTAATAAAGTTTTTTTTTTGTTGTTTTCGTGCCTCCCAAATGGTACGATACACTTTTCGTAGCGAGGAAAACCACGCGGTTCATAAAATTAGACATTTTTCTTTTCGCCGCCTGAAAACTCCAAATTACAACTCACAAATTTAATTAAGTACTTTTTGCAATTATTTCTGTTACATGAAATGTAATTAGTCGTGCCCCCGTTATAAAATGCAACAATAAATCAAAACAAGCTGCATATTTAAAACCAAAAGTTTACAGCTGACATCGCCAGATGTATCTGTTTCAACTTAACATAAATTTACATTTCCCTCCCCCGATTTTTTTTATAAAGTTAGAAACTTTCATTCTTACTTTTTTTCTGTTTTCCTTTTAAAAATTTCCAGGAGCGCATCAAACGAAATTCATGCAATTTTAAGTTAGTATAATGGTAAGTAGAGTAATTTGATGATACGGTTTTAGATGTTGAAGGCAAAAGGTCAACATCTACGGTAATTAGCTTATGTGAGAAGTACCTACCAACAAGAGCATCACCTTCATTAAGGTGGTCGCAGATGTTCATAATACACTGGCAGGCTTTTAGTGATCCTTACCTCTAAGCGACACTTTTGAATAAGGGTTCTAAAGCTAATTATGCGTTGTACTGCCAAACTCGGTTTCCTCGTAAACCTTTCATATAAAAAGATCCGAATTTTTCTATGTGCGTCTCATTTCCATAAGGTTGGAGCAATTCAATTTAATCGTTGTAAATTGGCTGGTCTATTAAACGTAGATTGTTTCAACACCTCCGTACACCGCGGGAGGAAAGTTTCCTAAGTTTATATTTGCTATAAACTTAATGAATCAAGTGTATTGTTCGAATTTGGTAGTCAATTATACCTGCACGAAAACCGTTTATTTAAGCAACCGCTTCCGGAGAATTTCAGATCGATACTAAATTTCCTAAGGAACATTTAGGAATAGGGATAAACCTCCTATTAATTATGCTACCGCTAATAAAGGATTCTCGGACGCACCTGATATCCATTTTAAAAGCCGAGTCTGTATAAAATGTTCCTAATCCTCAAATCGCAACGGATAAAACGATAGGGTTCATATGACTCCTACGCTCAAAAAAGTGTCTCTTCATGTCTTTGTAGTTATTTAAATCGACAGAGGGAAAGGATAAAATCAACACTTTTATAAATATACGATTAATGACTTTTGAGTGTTGTATGCGATATTTGAAATGTCGTTCGTACGATAATTTCAGTTTTGAAACGCTAATGAGGACACAAGCGATTGGAACACGGTTTGTAAATTGTATAACCCATTTTGTCTGCTATCTCGGATTAAATTGGCATCAATATCGATAAATAAATGGAAATGTTATTGATTTGTTTTTATAACAAGCACATTTCAATATGGAAACGGCTTTCCATTCGTCATGGGAAAACTAATGAACACAAGCGATGGAAAATTTTTTGAAAATTCTATTCGTCTGCATGATTGAATTAATGTCTCATTCCGCTCTTGATTTCCTATTATATTGGGATCGCCCAACACTTTTTACTTCATCAACTAACAGAATGTCTTGGATGTGGTATGGAAGGTTTCGATTTAAGTACACTATTAAGGGTCGAGATATCCATCTCAATGAAAAATCGCCGGGTTTCTAAATTTTGAGGACGCAAATCGGCGTATTTTTTGTACATATAACTGATGTCTGATATGCATTGAAGGGAAGTCCTTCTTTCGGAATGAGAAATGCTAAAATACTCTACTTTTCTTATTTTTTGTGATCCGTAACGTTAACTATTACTTTTTTATTGGTGTCTTCTAAATCCTCCACATTCAACTTCAAAAGCTCATTACGCCTACTTAAGCGCCAAATACCCGCATACCGCATGACACATGACCATCAAAGATGGTCACCGAATATTTCGGGGCTGGGACAACAACTTCTGTATCCGTTGGCGTACGAGGAGCCTTTATACGGCTATCGCTGTTTAAGTTTCATTCGTGTGGACCTGACGGAACTCTTGAAAAATGTTTCTGGTAGCCGCTCGACTGCAGATGGCTTTCCAACATGATGGAGCACCTGCACATTACAGACAATATTTTCCACATTGTATGGGATTAGTTTAGAGGCTGCAGGTAAAACAGGCATCATTCAATTTTTTACTCAGGTAACGCAGCTTGTATTTTCCATTACCGCGTGAATTTTCTACCACATCAAAAGCTGTCACCTGAAACTTTAAATCGAAGTTGTAACCAAAAGCGTAAGACCGTCTGATGAATTAGTCGAACGTAATCGTGTCAGTACGGAAACTTCTGCCCTAGGCTTAAATGCTTAAAGTTTCTGAAAGTATTAAGTGAAGGGGATGGTGCTTTCATAATTAATACTGTCCAGATTTCAGTTATAGGATAACCATTTAATAAAGTACCTATGCCTTTTATGTAACTGATGGAGTGATTTCTTTAACTTGTTCGCCATCATTCTATTCTACTCTCACTGCTCCGTTCAATGGTAGCATTGAATTTATAACTATCAATGTATGTAGTTATAGTACAGTGCGATGGCAAAGTCGCAAACAAAAGCATAAACGAATTTCCGCCTTTTATTTTAGTTAAATGCGAACGGTGGGGTTGGATCATGTAATTAAATTTCATTCAAAACATTTCCTCGTAAATTCTTTTTATAGCCCAAAGTTTTTGGGCATAAAGCGCAGTATAGCTTAAATTGCTGTTGTGAAACAGTATTTGGTGTTGGTGTATTATACTGTAGAGTAGTTAAAGTTATATTATGGAATAAGTTTAAATTAATACTTTGGTCATGAACCACTTGCGCAATATAAGTTCGGCTTATAGATATACTGTGCAGAAGATTTTATGCTATTTTCCGCAGTATATGCGGACACACGTTGGCCATTTCAAAGGATAATTTGTTTTAATTAGTTGCGGTCTAGTTCATAAGACTGCTTCGTTTGTCAACACATCTATTGTCCCAATATTTACGCTACACTTATCAACAAAACTCTTCAAATAGTATTATGCGTTTCTAACCAATCACCATATCATCTAACTAAATTGAGAAAATTATCGGCTCCAGACCCGTAGATAGGATGACGTAGTGGCAGTTATTTTTCAAGTAGGGGCTTAAGGAACAGGAAGATCATCAGAATATTATCCAAAATAACCTGTAGGTGTTTATTTATCTATAAAGTTATTAATCTACAAATAATTTTCTTTGCTTTGCACGATTCGTCTATTGGAAGGGTTGTAATTTTTGTGGTACATTAAATATCATTGCTTGATTTTGTTTCCAGGTCTTTAACATACATGTAAATTTATATTTGTACCATTTTTAGAGGGGCAACATCACGTTCTAAGTGGGGCTAAACTGAACCTCGTCACCCCCTAGCTACGCACCGATGAAATAAACTAAACACTATACCTCTTACTTAAAATTCCATCAATGGTTTTGTAAAAATACGCCATTGAAATTTATCTTTTACATTTAATTTATTTTAGTTCGACACACTTTGTAAGCTACAATTTGAAGTTACGGAGTATAGGCTACTATAAAGCTACAAATTGCTTCAATCCAGAAATTCTCATAATTGAATAATTTTGTTATAAGCGCGTTTAATTATTTACACTGCCATTAAATTAAGTGCGAAATTATACTCACGGCATCATATTAACAGTAATTCAAAGTGACTTAATTAATATATCTTTATTCGTTAGAGACGCTCGCCCTTCTCCCCAAAGTTGATTAAATAACAAAGAGAATCGTCAGAAGTCAAAGGGTTTTAAACAAATGAAACAATAGAAGACATTAAATCGGGTATAATGGCAAAGGCATATTATATTACTTGCCGAGTTTTAGACTTTCCTTCGAAAGTAGAGCATTGTTGTTATAATTGCCCTCACTGTTACGTTGACGCCTTTACATTGTTTTGGTATAAACGAGGTTTTCTGCAAATGCTCCTGTTCTACAAATGAAAAAGACACTAGTCGAAGTGAGCAAATGAAAATATGTATTCATTTTCTTTTCAGATCAAGCGACGACGTGCAAAGATCAATTGATCTGTTAGATCGTGTTCTCTCCGAGTTTGACGATGTGGAAAATGCAAACCAGGTGCAAAACGTAAGCGGGTACAATTAATTAAATTTTGGTTTTAACGTGTATTATCGGTAGGTTCAGCAACTAACTGGGGTTACTTCGCATTTGCAACAAACCGGCGCCAATCCTACGACAGGACATATACCTTCCACTCCTGATGATGAAAGTCCCTCATTAGGCCATCAGTCAGAAGATGACGGATATATGAGCATGAATGGAAGAAAACCGAAATTCGCGCTATCGTTCAAGCCATTAACGGAGGAAACCATCGCGGTAACACAATCGGTGCTACATCCTGGAGATCCGAACGACTTCCCTCCACCACCCGAGGAAGCGGAACGCCTCATCTCTACTTTATTACCAAAGTATGTAATGTACAGCTCACTCTTTAGTCTCTCTATATGTAGCACCACCTTTATTTTTCTCGCACTATTATAGCTTCTGAAATAAAATCTTTTTGGGGTATGTAGGTACTCTCTGTAATTTACATCATCAAATTATATAGATTTAAATGGTTTAAAACTCCCAATACCAAATTATAGTGGCCGTATATTGGGCCATCTAACATTTTAATTGGAACGCACTGTATACTTTACCATAAATCTGAAGATATTATTAAGTGGTACCGTTGAATGAGGTTCAGTGAGGCATACCTATCACTTTCTTTTTGTGAGTACCGACATCTGACACATCGTTCTTGAGATATTCGCATTTGAAGTTTTAGCCAACAGATGGGTTGTGTAAAGACTTTCACTATTGTCCTTGCGAGTACCCACTTTCGACACTGCATCATATATCTTAAGAAGACGTATTACTTGCCCGACATTCCGTTGTCGACATATTCGTATTTGAATTTTTGGATCCCTCAACAGACGCGTTTTGTCAAGATTTTTGTAGGTACCCACTATCCACTTTCAACAATCCACTCTCAACATATTCGCATTTTCGTCTGACCCTACCGACAAGTGCGTCTACTCCATAAGTTTCATTTGATTTTTTGAAATTTCGCCATTATAGTTTTATTAGAAGGAAATAATAAAAAAAATTCATTAAACATCGCTCCATAAATAAGAAAGATAGTTTTTGCTCACATGCGCAATTCCCCTTCCTAGTATGCCCACTAGAAATATCTGTAGTTATTGGTGGTGCGCTTATTCGACCATATTGTTCAAGTTTACTTTAAAAGGCAGTCGTCGATTCGCGAAACGTTTTCTCACAAAATTGTGTTCAGTGATGAGACTTCTGGTTCCTGAATTTTTTACTAAGCAGAGTTGCCGAAGGTGGAGTGATTCCAACCCAGAAGAGGTCCACAGGCCTTACATTTAGAAAATGGACAATTTGTTGCGGTTTAAACTCGAGTGGTTTGGTGGCATCATCATCGGACCTTTATTTCACATTATCCCCCTGTCCCGGCATAGTTGACCAATACTCTTTTCCGAAATGTATTCCGTAATAATATTCACTATTGGTCTACTCTCCGTTGAAATAAACACCCCCAGGAGATTTTTCCAAAAAGGTAAAAATTCGCATAGACATTGTTACAAGATAGGTATTTACTTAGATGAGAAAGGGTATGATGTAATCAGTGTGCGCTTAAAAATTGTTGACTACTAAAATACCAAATACCACTCTATACATACATTAGTTGCGCAAATAAAAGTGATAAAAATTGATGCTTTATTCTGTCCCACTATAGGGTGTCACCAACGAAACGAACGACACCCAAAAGAACGAGAGAATTTCCGCTGACAAGGCCCCACGGAAGGATAGAAACCATACCACCGCCACCAAAATTTCAAAATAACTCATTCAACGGAACTTTCGAACCGAAACACATTGCAACTCAAACTACTTTGGTACGTACTCAAACCACAATCTCATGTTTAATAATATCCCGTCTAATATTTTAGCCAAAAACCCGTCATCAGCGCCCGTACGGATGGGAAAATAACGATTTTAACCTTCAAGCTCCTCCCCCACCCCCCGGTTTTCGATATGGAAGTTTACCGTACCAACACGGACTATATCCCTTACTATCATCACCTACAAGAGTACCTCCACGCACTATACCGACGGCAATTGAACGTCACCGCGAGGTCAGAAGACATGGGAGCGAAGACAATTTATCTAGTGATTTAGAGGAGTCGGCACTACGGCCGTTAAGCGAATTGGCGGATGATGAGCATTTCTCGGACGATTCGCTGGAAGAAATGCTACCTCCGCCACCTCCCGTTGCCAACAAGCGAAGCAGCATTGCTTGGGAGGTGCCTCTAGATGGCGACGATCCCTTATTGACGCCTGGCAGTACGAAGGTAGTAGGTCGACGAAGGCGAAAATCAGGGTCCCATTCGAGCACCAGTTCTATCCCGAATAGAATGAAAGATTTGGACGAATGGCCTGATCCTCCACCTTGCAGCACCGAGGACGATATTGCATCTCCGTTTTCCGATTCGGATGATCACATTGTCCTGCCTGCCGAGTTAGATTCTGGAAATCTAAGTGGAACTAGTACATACATAATTAGGCGCGGGAAGAAAGATAGAAAATCTCTGCTCAATATGGGCAGCTCCGTTAATTCCAGTTCATCTTTGAATTCGCGACTGAGTTCCGATTTAAGTATACCTCATTCTAGATTCAGTATTGATTTACATTCTCGCTTGAGTAGAGAGTTACAGACGCCTAATTCGAGATACAGTATCGATCTTGGGACATCACATTCACGGTTGAGTCAGGAACTGAATTCTCCAAAGTCTCGGTACAGCTTAGACTTAAATAACTGCAGACGTTTAAGTCAAGAACTGACCAGCTCCCCCTCAAGATTAAGCGTCGATTTATCTAGCTCTAGGTCAAGCACTCCCCAATGTAGATATGGAAATGACTTTAAGAAGCACAGCACGACTTTTGATAATATTCAATCCTTGATTAGAGAAGGTGTTATTGAAAGTTGCAGTGGCCCACCTATCGAATCAGTAAGTGACTTTAATTCTCCCACGTCACCTCTCGTTAGAGTAGTGTCTCTACCCACTCTAAACGCAGAGGAATTGACGCCGAGGCGAGAATTGGCAGTTACAGTGGAAGAAGAGGAAGATACAGAAAGTCCGCTACAGCATGACAGCACTGAAGTGTCACCGCTTAGAAAAATCGAGCAAAGTATTAGTGAGCTACTTGAAAGGAGGGATATTGAAGTTGTACAAGATGATAAGTGCATACTGCAAGTTAATGGTTTCAACGACAAAAAGAAACTGGTGCCGTCCAAGCCCAACAGAAATTCTGATGCGCGCCAAAGACTTAACGATCTTCAGAAATCTAGCAGCCATAACGAAATTCAACGATCCGAGGATTATTACCGACAGTTATTGATTGACGGTGGAAGTGTGCAGCATTATCCGCCTCCCAAGCGCAATGGTATCCAAAAGTCGGAGAGCGCAAAGGAAATGCTAATTTCACACAGGGAAAAAGAATCGCGTCCAATCACAAGTTCGTCTTCCGCCGATTTTCCTGTTAGAGTAGAAGTCTTACAACACGATTTTCCTCCTTTACCACCATCGCCGGTGGAAGAAGACGAAGACGAGTATTCGGAAATAAACTCAGTTGGTCAAAAAATAAGGTCCGACACGCTGCCCCCCAATTGCGAAGCACCAGCAGTGCCTCCTCATAGGGAACCGACATCGAACAGCTTAAAAACGCGTTCAATGGATGCCGGTTATAGTAGAGGTAGACGAAATAACTTTTTAAGTAGTTCTAGCCGAAACATACCGCCTGAACGTAGAACGTTGCCTACAGAACTACAGGGTACCAAACGTCGCACGTACCAAAAACGTTCCAATTCGAGAGAAGAACACCATTTGCAAACATCATGTAGCTTACCAGAAACTCCTATTTTCGCGAGAGGTTGCGATATACCGAGGACGCCGCATCGGAAGGCGCCCGATATACCAAACAATCATTCAGGACCACGACAAAGTAGCACCATGAGTAGCTTGAATACAATCGGTAACGTCTCCACAGGCGGCTACCGCCGAAATTCCGGATTGGAACAAGCCCTGGTTGGCGCAGAACTACTTAGGTTAGCCGGAGGGCCTGGTAGAGGATGGTACCCAAAACACAGGCATACTCGGCCCGCTTCGATAGAACACTTGGATAGACTAACGCCTGGCCATAACCCCTGGGACACGAGCAGAAAACCGTTAACGCTTCCTCCTAATCTCACGCCCAAATTCTTTCAAAGGTCGCCGAGAGATGCACTTCGAAGAGTTACGAGTTTACTTATTCGAAAAGGTGAGTTTGCTAATGGAGCATGTTATGTCCCCTATGTCAGCCTTACCTCTCACAGTAGATCATTACTGTCCTTATCAATGTGAGAACTTAAAAATAAATATAAATAATTAAAAATAATGATAGTGTACAGGGTGGGTAAGTAATTAATGTTCAAATGAGATATTTTATAAATGGCTTTTTGGCGATTTTCCTCATAATACAAAGGGAACCATAGTATTCAGCAAGGAGGATGTAGATAGATTTGTCAATTCGTCTGTTTCGCTGTTATGGTTTATCATCAAAAAGTCACCTTCAAATTATTTCGTTTTTGATAGTGAAACAAATCACTTCACGAATAAATAATTGTGGGCATGTGCACTTCAATTTTTCACGTGTAGTTTTATTTATTCTATATTACTTTTATTTTAAACTTCCATCTCTGAGGTCTCATTCGAACCAGCGACTATGTTTGTCATAGCCATAGACAACTGTCTATTCTACTCAATGACCTCCGTAATCCTTTGTTCAATATGCATCTAGCAAATACCGTTTCTTCAATTTTTATGACGGGAGGAGTTACTGTTGGAGATAGAGGAAAACTATTTTGGGAGCGTTAATTGTTTTTTAGTTTCTTTCATGGTTTGGCGGGCAACGCTAAATAAATAGCTGTTGCGTTTTATGGAATATATTTACAATACCATGGTAGCCGAAGTGCACGCGATAAGCGGCGTCGTCGGAGGCAGCGCGGGTCTTCTGGATTTCTGCAGGCGGAGAGCTGATTGTTTCTTAAAGCGCCGTCGAAGCGGGAATTGGTTTTCATAGTTCGGAGTTCTGCTTTTAAACGTTTGCGGCCATGAACGCTACGCTCTCATCGGTTGACCATTATAACCAATGAGGGTGCAGCACGTTTTATATGCCGCCGCGTCGCTACACCTGCCCTGTACATATTTTAATACAAACATTAAATTTCTTCATAACATGTCAGATGAGTGTTTTCCAATTTAATCATAATGAAATTAAACAATATACCAACATTCTTGGTTTTTGATTACAGGGAATTGCTGCATATTTGAAAATGGTGAGTCTTCTGCCATTTTCTGGGTAGCTTTTGAAATTATGTAGCCACCCTTAACGAACTTTCTTACTCAGTTATTTGCTTGTTGTATTTATTTTCAATCGCTTACTAATAACTGATTCAAATCGGCGCGATTTTGTTTGAGAATACTTTTATATTTTTAGAAATTACAAACACCTGTATAATAAATAAGTATAGTCGACTCCTCCTTATCTTCGCCCTTTCCCTTTTATCTTTTTTTTTACAATTTTTGTGCTGACAAAATAAATTGTTTTGTGTAGGATTTTAATTATCCATTTTTACAGGTAATGCTACAAAGGACACGAAGAAGGAAGTTCCACAGAAGTTCCAGGAGCCCACTGCAAATGGTAAGAAATTCGCGTATATGCCTCTTTCGGATCAAAAAATTGCCAAAGGTGGCAGTGTTGTTCCTGATTCATAACCACTAGCTGCTCAATTATTTTTTTCATTGTTTAATTTCAATATCTCTAAGTTATGTTTTCTGTAGCAGGCGAAGAGATTCAGAAGAAGAAGGGATTTTTCAAAAGTTTATGGAAGAGATCACGACATTACTCACTCGAGCAGCAATAATCTCTATTCCTTTTTACCATCGTGGTGCAACCCGATTGCGTGCTATCATCATTTGTAAATATCAACAATCAAATTTCCATTGTACTTAGAAAACTTGACCTAGTCTCCTACAGACTACAGCAACGATTCGCAATTAATCAATCTGTCACGGTAATATAATATGAACAAACAATGTCGCAAAACTTCTTTGCTAAAATTATACAAATACATTCATTTTTTTATTAATATACGTGGAGAAACTATTTTTAGAACTATTTGTGACTGATTTGGTGGAATCAAGTTTGCCCAATCTTTCCGTTTTTTGAAAGGCGCAGCCAGTTTTTCCTACTTTACACATCATTGGGCTCTATAAACTACAAGGATTTGAAATGTTACTGCCTATATATGTGATTAAATTTTAGATAAGGATCATTACCTATCAATTGTAAGTACTACCCTGTAAATTATTGTGCGCTCAAATACTTTGTTCAATTTTTACCATTTTGTATATTAACATATAATAGTTATTAAAGAGAACTCTTCACTGAATTTAACAAGCCCGTCGACTTTGACAGTAGTTCTCTGTATTAACTTTGTTAAATTAGTATGTAAAAATTCTAACATAGGTGCCCGTACAATTATACATTAGTAATAGAGTTTGAATACCATCTTTCCATTATACCTACTGTCCTATTTTGAGATTTTCAAAAATAATACAGCTTGAAATCAAGCAGTTGGACTGTAAAATATAGTACACGATGTCAACTTTTACGGCGTCTATTTATTGATGTTAGTAAAAATGTTTTTTAAAAAAGTTAAAATGGTTCAAAAATATCTTTTTAAGGCTTCTACACCATTATTGATACATCCATGCAACCATCATTTGGTGCAACATACGAAAATTTTGAAAATAACTGAGACACTTTGTAACCAGATGTTGGTAAGAAAATTTGATACATACTTAATTATTGTTGAAAATGACTATTTTTTTATTGCGCCATTTTAACTTAATTTTTCCTATGTCAATAATTATGGCATTGTGCAGACATGATTAGACATACACAATGCATGTGAATTATGTGGTAATGAATAGAAACTGGGGATGGAAATCCTAATTAAAAGATTTTTTGATTTTTCTAATATGTCCAAATGCTTCGTAGCGAAAACTAATAATTTATGTTCCATCCCCAGTAATGGGAAAGATAAGGAATTAAATCCATATCATTCTATTCTCCTCCATCAATTGAAGGTGGATTTTTAATTACCCAGCTAGCTGCACTTTAGTTTCAGTTTAGAGAAGTTAACTTTTCAATCAAAGTTTTAAAGAAAAATGGAAAACAAAAGCAAATTGGATATGATGCCATATCGGCTACTCACAAATCCATTTGTCTTGTAAATATAACCCGATGGTTAAAAATATTCCTACTTTTGTGTAGCACTCAAGGCACCAATGTTTAAAATACATTCAGCGGTGAATGATGTAGTAAACGTTAGAAATTTGTAAATTATTATTAATCACAGCTTCTCTACTTTTTCACTGTTCACATCAAAGTGCCCCAATTTTATATAATTGAACAATAAGTAGAGTATAGGTGACACCCATGTCGAGGGAAATATGTACGCTAATTAAACGGAATAGGTAGTTGTAAGTTGCTGTACTAAGGGCGTTTGTATTGTTTTTTGTAGAAACATTTTTGACGACTTTTTAACAAAAAGTATACATGTGAATATGGCAAAGAAGCAAATATACGAACTTGTATTTGCTCTTTTGTACAAAGTGTTCTATACTATTTATTATTTTTTAATGCTTTATTTTGTAATTATATGTTAATGTTATCAGTGAGCTAATAATTTACTTATTCATTATTTTATCTCACATTTTTGTAATATAAGTTTATAGAATTTATTATAGATAGGTGTGTGTCTGAAGTGTACATAAACAGTAAAAGCTTCATAAATTATTAGTTTTTTTTTAAAGAAAAGCAGGGTCTGACTGGACAGGAGAGATACCAGGAGATTTTCCAGGGGGCGTCTGGCCACCAATTCAATGCTTAATATTCTTATGGCTATGATTACAGTAGAAACTCGATTATCTGGACATTGGTTATATGGATACAAAATGTATGAAAATATGGAGTAATAAAATAGATAATAACAGACTGTTCAATTAATGTACGACACACCGTTAGTGGAGCAGAGGTTGAGGCTGACATATGTTACTGTCTACCTAACGACAGACCATTAGTTGTGTTGGTAGACCAACCTTGGCTGAAACCCCGCCAGTAGGTAAGTAACACCGGTTTCGGCGCTTCACTGGGGATCCGACCTGAAGCAGGTGGTCGCCCCCTAGGTGTCTGTCTATTATATAGTTAGACGCCGGTTTCAACGCGGTCTGTCAAAAATTATTTGAGGTAATATCCACTTCACCCTCTCCACATGTCACCCGCAACCCTTCACATCCGGGATTACTGTCTTTGTGCAAGAATTGTTGCACGCCACACGTTTAGCTACTCGGCAATTGACCGATCTTCTGTCCACCTCTGTCAACTCACGCACGCACCGAAAAACCTGTGCTGGAGGGATACCAACTACCAGCCTCACATCTTCTCTGGAAAACACTATAAATCCAATCAGATAATGCAGTTAAATCACCATCAAGAACGAAACACGAGACATCATACACACAATAAGTGGAAGCCACGATAAATCAAACCAAGTACAAAACACATCTGTGGTTCAAGGCAAAACAACTCGTAAAATGGTAAATGTACATGTACAAAAAAGGTTACGTCAAAATCATATAGCTTTACTCTAGAATCGACTTTAATTAATTTAACACGAAAAGTACAAGTGACAAATGCAGCAGTATTATTGTTACAGTCTTATTATCGCACAAGCAATTCACATAAATAAGCGAAATATGTGAATAAATGCACCCTTTTTTCTCGTATAGCTTACGCCCCGTCCGGTAGCGGGCCACGAGGTGAAGGCGCAACATATGCAGCTGACAATCAAACTGCATGCGGTACTCCCTCAAAGAAATAGTTACATCGAAGCATACAAAGTAAAAGCCCACATCGTAATAAACTTCCCCATGAGTACATAAATACGTAGATACTTAATAAACAATATAAAGGCATAATCCATCCTGTATAGTATAGCAAACAAACATGATTCAGATAACGGTACTCAAAGCAAAAGCATGCGAGTAGGCATTGCTCCAATAGCATGTATTTTATGCAAAACCTAAATAATAACAAATTGTGACATCAAATTCATGGTTAGTAGAATTAGAAGCAAGAATAAAGTGGTTACTACCTCAACTACCTGTAGATACACAAAAACAAAACAAACGCTAGATTCGCCATTACTCAAACCCAGCTGGGATTCGAATACCGTTACTCGACGCTAACCTTCTCCCCAAGCTTCGTTATGAAAATCCTCTGGCATCAACGCAGAACGGTGGAAACGGAAAACGTAGCACAAAAGGTGTAGAGAACTAGGTGTGTTGCCTAACTGCCCGACTAGATGCCACAGACGAATTCATGTCAATCGCATTAATGTGGAGCTTGTCTGGAGGTATGGTGTGGGTAAGGTAAAATATCATATAAAGCTTATTTCTTTGTCTTTTGGATTTCCTTTTCATTAAAGCGAAATAATCAAATGGGCAAGGTGACAGTTCCCAAAAGAGGACTTGAAGATCGTTGTCATTCATCTTGGGAGTTGCTACTCGCAACATGAGAAAGGAGTCGACGCAAACGCATAGTGGTTCTCCAAGTATAAGATGTGTAGTATGCCGACGTCCGTGCATTTACATGATGGCTTTTCTCTTGCAATTGCACCAATTATGTATTCCCATTCTCTTTTGACGAACAGTTGACACAGCACTGGACATGATAAATAGCGTCAGCTACAATTAAATCTCACTCATTTGATACCTGTTCTCCCCTGTCATGTGCAATTTTTCAAATTTCACCCTCCAAAGGATCTCCCGTTTTTTCAATCACTTTTTATTCTATTTTTGAAGAAACTCTCTTCAGTTGCTTCACATCATAACATTCACTTGACTTTCAAGTCAAATAGGAAAGAGTTTCTATATTTTTGTCTATTTAAGTGGACTGTATTATCAACAAAATACAATTATATGTATGAAAAATGTGCCATTGTCGACCTTACATTTTTTTAAAGACATTAACAAATGTTTGCAGCTCCAACATGGAATGCCTTTAAAATATCCTCATCTAAACATACAGAGTTCCAAATTCAGATAAGGAAGGTCTTGCCCGATCATGGCAATTCAAGTTTCATGGATTGCATTAGCCAGTGAGCAAGGGGTGTCATAAAAGATGCCCCCTAAATGGTTACTCCTTTTTGAATAATTCCTGTTAAGTTTTCAATGTGCCTCCAGCATGAATTTTACAAAATTTGTTCCGATTGTTGGAAAACCTGCTACTTTAGATACTAAAATACACACAAATAATAAATTATGATCAAGATTGATATTCTAGAAAAATGCAGTGGTTATATTTAAACTTCAGGAAGTTATTAGTCATCAACATCCTGGTTGAAAACAATTCAATAAAGAACATGCCTGGAATAAGAAATAAAAAGACACATTATAATACAAATTTATGTTTTTATTTAGGTAGACACAATATCCCTTGCGAATTATATAAGAAATTTTACAAAGCTACTCGATTTTAAATAAAGGATAAAGTAGTAAAACTTGATGCCCAAAGGACAAACATGAGCATTTTGCAAAACAGCATATTACAGCAGACTACACAAAATTATTGTTTTCGGTAATGTTTATAAAACTTTACAATATATTAAGTTATCAATTATGTACGAAATGCTTTACAATTGGCAGACTGTTCTAAAATAATCATTCATGTACTAATTATACAAAATTATCACAAAATTCTGAAAAATTAAATGTTAGGTGATATAAAAAAACTAGTGCGCGCTACAATTTACATGCAATGAAAACAAAAATTCTGATCATTCTTTACCAGTTTGTACAAAACTCACCAGAACACCTAAATAAAGATGACAAAGAAAAGCTAAAAAAATTAACAAAAATATAAAATAAAATGAATACTTAGAAGACTTCAACTTATAGCTACATTTGTGCTAAACTCACTGAAATTGGCAATAAGATTAACTTACTAATACATGTACCTTTCGAAGTTTTCGTTAATACACAATTAGGGAAAGGAAAAAAAATAAAGAAAGTTTTGTGGGACTAGAGATTTTTTTATTTAAAAAATCCTAAACTGTATTTTCAGTATCAAATATTAGAATAGCAATGGTATAGGAAAAAGCTTACATGAAATGCTCGAATGTAAATTATATTTAAGTGCCTGCAGCATCACACACCGCCTGAAAGATAGCAATGGCACACTACAAACACAACCAATACTAAAAATGATCTAAAAATTATAACGAAATATGAGACCACAGTCTAAAATTATTAAGGGTAATAGACTATTTTATAAGCACTAAAGATATAGCAAATTTTTAAAATTACTACTAACAAAGAAAACAACTGTAAATGCTTATAAAATAATCCATGGCGATACCAATTTATTATGTGTACAAGAATATGTTATATTTATTAAAAGAAACTCAATGTTCCGACATTGACAAACTTTTATACTGATACACTCGATATACACATTGCTGGTTCGCTGTTATTGAAAAAAATTGTGACGATGCCGCATGATGTTAGAGGGCAGCGGCCTATACTATCTGAAATAAAAAAAGAAATCGTGAACCTTTGCCGATATGATAAATAATGCAATTACATACACAAAGAAAATCAATGCATTCTTTATTTTAGCACAAAATGATCATTATAAGTTTTTTAAAAATAACAGTATCCTAATGCGAAAAACAGATCACAATATGGGTACAAAACAGTAAAATACTGGCAAAGAGCGAATTGCTTAAAGTCAATGACTCACTTTACTATAAAAAGGTGTGTGCAATGATAGCACTATCTTGTTTACAAACTACCAAAAATTGAAGTAAAGATTATTTATAAATGATGTAATTGCTGATACGAACCACGTACATTAATTTATGAAATATTCACCAGTGTTATTTTTAAATAAAGTTATAACATACAAACCTCTAGTATCCACAGCTAATTAAGTAATCTCCTAACTTTTCTACAACTGAAGCCGCCTGTTGGGGCTGAATTGGATCTTCATAAAGGGATACGACAACAGCTGCAACAAATAAATAGTACATGAGACTCTACTGTGGAAGTATAAATTGGACAAATTTTGAGAATTAAGCACATAAAAATCAAAGGAATTTCCTCATACGCCAAACTATTTATAATGACGCCATTTTTATTGAAGATGATTCATGCCTCAGGGACTACAAAAAGTGCAAATCATTGCCACATCTACATTAAAAACTCGCTGTATGAAATGGGTTCAATGTTTACAATGTGCATAAAAAAAGGAACACTAATATCATATCGCAAACATGTTTCCAGTGCTCTGTTCTTCAGGACTTTGTAAACTTTGTTTGTCCAATAGACAGTAGAATTTAGTATGCAGTTGACAGTGACAGTAGTAAACAAGCGAAATGAAAGTGAGAACGTGGGCAATAAGGCTTTTAGTTACTATCTTTATTCAAGCTTATACATCTACATACATAAAGTGATATTTATTAAGTAGACATAGGGATTTACGTGTATTGTTTTTCCCTATGTCTACTTTTAAATGACTCTCTTCCGAAGGGCGCCTAATTTTATGCAGCCAAAATAACTTTTTAAAACAAATAAACATCTGGCTGTCATGTCATATTAATTAATAATTTGAAGGAAACAGCCTTGGCTTCAGAAAAAATAAAATTTACCAATTTGTTTTGAACATTTGAAAAATACAGAAAATTAAGATTAATCTATGGTGTTCCCAAAATCATACACAAAATATCAGAAGTTGGAAACTGTTGGTTCCAGCAGAATAGTGCACCCGCGCACAACACCCTAATCATGCGAGAATAACTATCGGACAAATTTCCTGAAAAATGTAAAATATGTTTGATAGATATTCTCGTACGATTAGGGCGTTGTGCGCGGGCGCACCATCTGGTTGAAACCAACAGTTTCCAACTTTTGTTTTTTTTGTGTGCTGTATATAATAATAACGGCTTTATTTAGGCGGGGTGTCAGCCAAAGGCTGCTATTAATCCCAACCTTGATACAAAAAAAAAGTACAAAAACATAATGGAGTATTTAAAACAATTTATGGTAATTTATAAGGTATGATAGTCCAGGTGAGAACAGATAAGCAACAACAACAACAAAATATATATATGATTCAGTGATAAAGAAGTACTCTAAGGTGTTTTTTGAAACCGTTTGGACTTAATAATTTAAGAAAGTTCGGAACGTTATTGTAAATGAGTGGTGCAAAATAAGTAAATGCACCATGAAACTGGGTTTTATGGTGCTTTGGTATGTCAAGAAAGAATGGGTTACGGAGATTACGATCGTGAATACTACTTCGAAATTTTAACTTATTATACAAATATAAAGGTTCACCAGATACTAATATTTTGTGAACCAGACATGCAAGATGTAAATGACGTCTTTCGCCCATGTTCAAAATTTTATGTGCTTGATAAATATGGGAAATATGTTCATATTTCTTAATGTTAAACGCATACCTGACGCAAGAGTTTTGGATTTTTTGCAGGCGAGTCTTATTTGCACTAGTTAGACACGGACCATAGACAGTGTCACAATAATCTAAAGTTGACAGTATTAAAGAATCTACAAGCTGCCACTTGACCTTTGGTGGAAGAACGTATTTGAAACGATATATACATTTAAGCTTTGCGTAAGCAATTTGAATCAGTTTATTGACGTGGAGGGAAAAGTTTAAGTGACAATCCACTGCTACTCCTAAACTACGAGATTCCCTAACTAATTGAAGCGGGGAATCTTTCAGATATAATTTTTGGTCCACATCTTCCCACAATGCAGTAACAGATTTTGGTGTTCCCAATAGCATCAGAGAAGATTTAGAAGGATTTATCTTTAGGGAATGTTTCTCAGACCATCTCTCGAACCGATTTAACTGCTCATTCAAGTTTCTCAGAGAGTAATTTAGATTGTTTCGATGGACAGGATAGATTAAGTATGTATCGTCCGCATAACTGTGGATGTAGGAACCGTTTAAAGACGTATCCATATCGAAAACATATAAACAGAAAAGAAGCGGTCCGAGGATAGATCCTTGCGGAACCCCCATATTAACAGGTAAAAAGTTAGAATCACTGTAGCTTCCATCCCTCAAAGTTCTAACCATCTGCATTCGATTTTGTAAGTAGCTTTTAAACCAATTAGTAGCGGTAGAAGAAAGTCCAAGGTAATGCAACTTGGCTACCAAAAGTTCATGGTTAATACAGTCAAATGCTTTGGAAAAATCGATTGAGAGCATCACAGATACTTGAGAGCGATCGGTTGCTGCTAGGACTTCGTCCACTATATCAATTAGAGTGGTCGCAGTAGAGTGATGGCTGCGGAAACCAGATTGATGTAACGGTAATATGTGATTTGCACGTATATAATAAGCGGACAATTGTACATATATAATCTTCTCAGTTACTTTAGATAACACAGTTAGGATACTAATGGGTCTTAAATGAGACAGGTTTTCAGGCGGATACTTTTTACAGATAGGGTGAACAATTGCAAGTTTCCAGAGGGAGGGGAAAGTGACAATTTTTAAAGACGTGTTAATTATGTCAGTAATAGCTCTACAACAGAAAGGCAGACAAAGCCGAAGCATAGTTAACGAAATTGAATCAACACCCATTGCATTAGATTTCAAACTATAGACAGCGTTATTCACATCCGTATCTGTAACAGTAGAGAAAGAAAAAGTTTGAGTAGTAGCGTTGTGAACGTTGTTTAAGTAAAAGTATATCATATTAGCAATAAAAATGCTACTCAATACAGTATGAGTATAGTATGTAAGCTGCTATTATATAATATGTAAACTATCATGTAACACAAACCAGAATTTGATAGATGAAGTACTTAGTTGTATTAATGTTAGGATCTTAATGCTACATAATTATTATTTATATTTTTTAGGGGCGTTCAATCGTTTCCCTAGCAAAATTTGTAATTACTTTAAATTTGTGGCGGGGGCCTTTGTTGTCCTTTTTTAGTTCTGATCTCAAGATATTCTCTTTCAGATTACTCTCTTCCAACGCTTCTGTTAATCCCACCCACGGAACAGGGTCTTCTGTTAACATTTGATGAGAATTGCTCTAAAAATTTAATGTTTCCCAGACAGACAGGCAGGTAAAATAAGATTGTATTAGATGCTTCATACCATAGCTACAATGCGAAAATCGTAGCTTTGCCCCTCCACCCTTATGAATTACAAATATTGCCCCAATCTGTCTAGTATCCTAATTAAATTATAATGAGTATACACTATGTTCAAGGATGTCTATCATGGGGATCTCGGAAACCATAGAAGATACGACGATGGTTAAATTAGGGAAAAGTTGAGCAATTAAAGTTATTATCATGCTGTAAAGAAAACCAGAAAATTCCGATTACTTCCGAAGATATGCCAGAAAACCCCGAAATTTTCCAATTTCGTTTTTTATGTTATTTGGACAGATACAAAAAAAATAAAAAAACACTATCTCTTTACCACTTTTTGACCTCTACAAGACAGCCTTGAGAGATTTTTAATGCAATGTTTTGGGATGATGTTCAAATTGGAGCAAAATCTATACAGGGCGTTCTTAAATCTACCGTCTGTCCTATTTTGGTTGAGACTGCAGTGTACCTCAGTTGTTTTTAAAGACTTGCGGTTTTCGCGACCCCGTACCACTTTGTAAAACTTCTACCATAAACATAAAGAATCTAGGCACGCTTGTTTCCGAGATGTTATCATATTTTACTACCCATGTAAGAATCGTTTGGTTTACGTACGGTATGCAACACAATTTCTTGTCTAGTATAAAAACAGTCGCAGGTACACGCCTCTGCAAAACTTATGTCTTTTTATTCGTGCTAGATAGAGGTGAAAATATAATACTATAGTTGGTGTATATCTCACAGACAGTTTTGCAGTGGGCGGCTACCTGCCATGATTGATGCCACTGTTTTTATACTAGAAGAGCAAATGTTGCCTAATAACTAACAATTAAAGCAAGTACTAAGCAAATGCAATTATACATAATAATTTATGTTCTATTAGCAGCTTACGACACAAAAAATACTGACTAAATAAACACATTCATTAAATTACACCTGTACAATAATGATAAGCACTATAAAAGTAGTGATTTACCTGAAGTAAACAGAATACTAGATGATAATGTACTGTACAAAATTGTTTGGTATATATTTACTTGGTTGTATTTTTTTTTGCTCCAGTTTCCATAATCAAGAATTAGAGCTAGCAGCGTGTAAACATTTCCTTCCACCTAAGTTGATATTTTTGTCTGATTCAATCTATTTTAGAGTTAGGGAGTGGCCTTTAATAAATCTACTCGGCATCATTGGAACAAATATTATTGATTTTAGGTAGGTAATTGTTTGAAATATTTTGTTAGAAAAGACATTTTCCCGAACAAATTTCGATCGATAAAGAATTAATGCTGAGACTATGTAGAACTAAACTAAAACATACAACCTCCATTTAACACTTTGATTTGGTCAAATCGATAGAAATTTTGCTCTTGATAGACTCATAAATTCCGATAAACGTAAATCAGCGGCAACCAAAAAAAGCAATTTTGAAAAGAATTGCGAAATTAATTTTGGCAAACGGCATATTTTCATTACACATGCCATTACATTTCTTATTCAGGATAATGAGGTAAATGGGTGAACATTCTGATTTTCTAAAAATAAATATCTTTGGATGCTGTTTGGCACCACTTAACCTGCCCACACGCCTTACGCTTTTACAACCGCAATACCAGTTTCGTGTCCTACTATGCACGAATAAGCATTTCAAATCAATTTATGGTAATGTGAACATTTCAAGATGTCGTTATAACATTTTTCGAACGTAATTATATTAGATTTTATGAACGACAAGGCATTAAAGATAAATTCTTGAAGCAGGAAGCTTCGTGTGCACCTGGCAATATTTTTATTTGATCGAGGTAAAAGTGGCGATCCTTACCCTGTGTTGTTTTCATGCAGTGTACTCCTACTTTGCCGAGTTTGGCTCGTATGACCCGATCTGTACCAGACAAATATATATAACGACTCCCTGCTAAAGTGACACCGGACGACGTGAGGATGTCTTGTTTTTCAAAACCTTGAACCAATTTGGCAAGTTCTTCTTTCGTTACCTGAAAGAAAAAAAGAAACATCAGGATTACCCTCTAATGAGCGTCGAGTCTTCCTTCCATCACTAATCACGCGTGGCGATGATTCATCAAACCACAAGTAAAGTAATCGCCGTCCTCTAATGTCACAGTTAACACTCTTTTACAATTATATATAAAGGACACACTTATAAATCATGCAAGAACTTTTACATTTTTCCACAATGAGATAATCTCCAGCTTGACCTGCATAAACTCGCTTATAAATTTAAGTTCGGAATTCGTTACGTGTAATAATACGTTTTGTATTAATTGTTTAAATTGAACTAATGAGAAACAAATAGATCACATTAAACAAGTCGAGCGTTCATAATTTGGTTATAATAGCGGAGCTTCAAAAGAAAGCGTGACTGAGCAGGCTCAATACGGACTTTCCAGCTGGAATGAGAGAAAATTTTGATTTTCAGATTACGAATGAGAAAATCGCTATCCTGCATCAAATCATTATTTTGCTTCGCCAAGTACACCTCTTTTGCGTGCGCGCTATAAATTTCAATTAAACGTTGCCAGTGAAATTGTAGTTCAAGCACTTTCTTCTATGACGCCATGGTAGTACAATTCCAGTATTAGATACATGCGCGATTACCTACGAAATTGACCAGTATCAAAATCTTGGCAAATGTACACAGTAGGTAGTAAACCGGGAAAGGTTGATTTTTTGGAGACGAACACAAAAAATTCACAACGGCGAATTATTTTTATTGCTATAGGTACATTGATGCAAGTGTTAGTGCAATAAATTGGTAGACCCAGAAATATTAACAATTTAATGTCGACATTCTGCTTGCTTAATTAACAATAGATTGTTACTTGTCTAATCAATATAGTCCAAGGTTCATTTCAGGTTTTTCGTTACTGTGTCCCAGAAATTGAGAAAACTAAACCATCTACTTTATGGATATTATCAGCACAACACAGACAAGAGAGATGGGCAGCAGAGCAAACTATTTTTGAAATTGATGACGTACAGCAAAAGAATTTGGTCATGTCTCCGCGGAAATTGGTGCATAAATAACCATTTTGACATCTCTTTGAATCTCGGTTTGAATACAACATACAGGATAGGTCAAAATATAGCGAATATGGCACCCGGTAGCATTGGTTAAACATTTTGAATTTCTGTGTTGCTAATTTTGTAATTTTTTTAAATAATTTTACAAATTTTCTTGTTTATTACGATTAAGTAATTTTCCTTAATTTTTTGAAAGTTTTTATACGTGTTAGGTTTTGGTTAACGGTATACCTCTATAATACACTTGAAAAATTTTATTAATACGTAGATATAATTCGATTATCTGGTTCTTGTAATTAGTTAATTGAATATTTACGATTTTTTTAATTTTCCCAATTTTATGTTTTAGTGTACTAAATTATTGTAGCGTCGCTATTAAAGATGGAACCTAATATCCCACGCTCAAACCATTTGAGATATACACATGACAAAATTTTTTTCTCTTTCTTATTACTACCTTAATCATGAATGGTGTTAAATTAGAAAATAATGGAGTCAAAATAAGCTTTCTAATGCAAAATTGAATGTTCTAATCTTCATATCTATATCTCAAAGGGTTTAATCGTGTGAGCTTTAGTTCTATCTTTAACAGCGAATAACAATTTCCTTAGCATGTACCCTTTATCTTTGTGTGGTTATTTTCTAACTTCACATTCTTTACGCCACTTTGGGATTCCTATTCAAAAAGCTAGATTATGCAGGGTGTAGCACCTAAGACTTCGAATTATAATTTCTTATAAAAGGTATCGAAAAAAAATATATAGAAGCAACATTGTGCATAAGTATCTCCGCTATGTTTCTAAACCAGGAGCGAACTATATTCCAGTGGCGTATCAAACTTGCATTTTTTTTTGAATGGAGCACCCCATATTTTATTGCAGATTTGGAAAGTAAATCTTTTAATAAAACTAGTTTGTCTTTTTTAATTAACCCTAAGTATACTTGAAAAGTACTTATTTGTTATGTAGCATGTTAGAATCGTTCCAAGACTGAAACCCTTGATGATCTTGTATGTTAATAAATGTATTTTTTAATTAGATTTATCATTCTTTGCATAGTCACACTGGACACATTTTAATTCTTGGTAGTCTTGTCCGTTAAAATGCTATTGGGCATGTGTTTTTTACATGGGATTACGTTTCCGATTATCATGTTGCCTGTATGATGTCGTTGTAGTGCGTTTGTACTATGATCACAAAGGACAATTCGTCTTTTTATATTCGAATACATTGCAAAACAGGTGTGAACAGTTCAAAAATAAAGTAATAAATACCAACATTTTTGGTTTAGATAGTAGATTTGTATTCGTACCAAAATTGGATTCTGCGCAATCACCTTTTAGGGTTAGAACGATCTCGATACCCTTAACTGTAATGGTATCGCCTGTATATCTCCTTTTTCCTCAAAATTGGACAGCAAATATTTCCATTACATTAAATTGCGTATTTGCTTCGACTTGAGTTTTTTGTTTGACCGGAAATAACAGATCACTATCTCGATCGCTACACATGTTATAGACGCTACTACTTAAACCGAAAATTCAAACTTGTCAAAAAATATCAAAGCCCTCATGTGAGATCGAAGGGCCTTGTCGAAGGCTACCATATCCCCTTGGTCGGTACTCGCTTCTGATGTCCCGTTCAACCGCAATTGGAGTTTGAAGTTTTGACTCCAGCATCAGTTTGATCTCGTCGCGGACTAACAATTTCTCTTTATCGGTACCCGCTTCCGACGTTCCGTTCACCCAGAATTCGCATTTTGGTGGATTTCGCTAAAAACCATCCACAAAATAGTACTCCAATTTTGGGGCACTCAAGCTTCTATTAACGACACGAGAAAGAGAGAGCGCCATTCGAGATTTTAAAAACCTTGAACCGCGTGAAAAAATCGCAGCAAGGTGCTTAATTTCGCCCCCAGGAAAAAAAACAAAATTCCGTCACGCCGGAGTTTTGCGCGTTTACAAAATCTTTCCGAAAAGACTGAAAAATCACCACGTCAATATAAGACGCTCGGGGATGGCGCCCAGATGTCGTCCACCCCACATCATGTACCTAGCCCTATTCCTAAAGTTGTTAATTACACGGCTCCGGTCCACTCCTCGTCTTTCTACACGCGTACCCGCCAGGCAGCGGGCTAAAATAAGACTCAAACCTGCCTTTCGACAAATCGATTTGCACAAATTAACGCAAATACACAATTTATTATAATATTTCATACAAATAATCTTATTCTGATATCTTTTAAAACCCCATGCCCCAATGAGCGATATTTCAGACCCCTCACGAGTCAAGTGTACATTTTATTTTCCAGGCATTTGATTTATAGTTTTTATCCTTAAATAAAATACAATAAGTATGTGATAGGTTAGTAAAAGGTGACTTTTTAAATTATTGTAAAGTATTTTTGTACTATTCACTAAAAATGTACAAAGGATATAGGCATCCGGAAAATTTCGAGATTAACGAAGCTAGATTCGCGTACAGGGTGTCCCACACTTTTATAGGGCATCTCCGTAATTGGTAGTACTAACAAAAAAGTAATGTGTGCCATGTGCTCTATTTGGGTCTAACTTAAAAACGTAAAATCAAAATTTAAAAGTTTTCGATCACTTAAGACGTAAGTACAGGGGAAAATTAAAAAAATTGTCAACTTCAGAATGACCCTCTATTTTCGTAGTTATATTTTATTATATTTTTACAAATATAACAGGCCACGATGCTATTAAAAAACATATTTGAATTTTTTTTTATTTTCAGAGAATAAATATCCTGTTTTTATGTTAAAATCTACAGTGTTCCATTAAAAAAATTAGCGTTAGGTCCGATAACTTTAGTACTTGAGCCTTATATATTCAGTATATTAATTTTGAAAACGGCAAATTATTCAATAATCATTATAAAGGAATAATAAACATTTTTCTGCATTTCTCTTAACTAAGAAATTAATTCATTCTGAAATTTCCCCCGTATCTCTTAGCGATGGAATATTTTTAAATTTTGATTTTTAGTATTGTTTTTTTCTTTTCGGAAACGGTTTTCTTTCAAAATATATAGGAACATATAAAATATGTACCTACGGGGTGTCAAATGATGAAAATGTTTTAAAAAGGTGTAGAAAATTATGTCAATATTTCATGTTTTGGAAATCTACGGCATTTTAGATAGTTCATAGTAGTGATTTTGAGCGCATCTGATTGATTTATTCAACAATGTGTTACATCGCGAAACGATCTGCTTCAATCAGTCGATCATCCCTTTAAACTTACTACCTACAAAACACAAGTATTGGAATTTGGGTCAGAAAACCACGGGAAAACTCAGCTTTATGTCGGTATACATTTAGACAAGTAAGAAAGACACTGCCTCTATTGGTTCAGCCCCTTTTCTTGTCCTTTTAATTAATAGCACTCCACTAATGGCCACATTTCTATACCGTAATAAATTAATGTTTGCAAATTGATTGATAAATGTGTCACGACATCCTTGCCCGCATAGATTTTTGTGATGAACGAAACCTGCAGAATGTAATGTTAATATTTTACCATATTATTCATTCCCACTTATCGCGCCGTTTATCAATAAACCTTGAACGTCTAATCACTTCCCAGTGATTCATTAACCAATGCTCATTAACGATTGCTATTGTTGTTTTGTTCTTCTAGGTGACCGTATTTTTGAAGCCCGATAAGTGGTCGAAAAACAATATGAGGAAGATCGACCGGTGAACTTTTCCTCGACCTTTCCGAGGAGAAATACCGTTAAGACCATTAAAATAAAATTCTTGTACATAATTTAGTGATATAGTATGCAGATTCGGAAACTCTGACAATATAATATAATTTTAGTTGGTAACCTTCTTGTACTTGCCAAGGATTTTTTCGCAACTCATTTCTCCATATGCCTGGCGAGACTTTCATAACACACTAATTAAACGAAAACAGTGATGAGACATT